TTTCTTTCTTTCTTTCTTTCTTTCTTTCTTTCTTTCTTTCTTTCTTTCTTTCTTTCTTTCTTTCTTTCTTTCTTTCTTTCTTTCTGTATTTATTGTCAGTCGTGGGGCTTGAACTTTGGGCTTGGGCACTGTCCCTCAGCTCTTCAGCTCAAGGCGAGTGCTCTACCTCTTGAGCCACCGCACCACTTTTGGTTTTCTAGTAGTGTATTGGAGATAAGAGTCTCACGGACTTTCCTGCCTGGGCTGGCTTTGAACTGTGATCCTCAGATCTCAGCCTCCTGAGTAGCTAGGATTACAGGAGTGAGCTACTGGCAGGCTCGCCCTTTTTATTTTGAGACCAGTTTTAGGACATACAGAGACTCCGTGCAGCACAGAGAGTCAGTCCCCCTCTATGCTCCTCCCAGCTCCTCTAGTGTATATGTACACATCTCCTGTTCTCATAGTATTGTTTGTTTAAACCAAGACCTGCATACCAGTGCAACCTTGCCTGAGAAAATGAACTCTATGCATCTGATATCTTGATAAGATAAAATCAGACACAGAAATCCACAACAGAAAGAGCATCGGAGGACACGAGTAGGGAAGGCTGTCTATAAGCAGAGGAGCGAGGCCTAAGGCAGAGCCAGCCCTAACTTGATCTTGGCTGTGAGTGGATCCCTTTCTGTGGCTGTGGCACTTTGCCATGACAACCTTGGAAGCAGACTTGGTGCCTAAGCACAAGACTCCAGGGGTTACGTAGGTTGCTCCATGGACGAGGTCAGTCCTGGGAATGTGTTGATGAGACCTTGGAGAAGATGCTGAGAGCACCCCCTAGAGGGCTGAGCAGAGACACCTGCTGAGGCACAAATGGAGAAGAAGGGACAGGAAAGGGTACAGGGATCCTTGTCCCTGTTATGGATGTCAAACCATGGTCATAGCGATGAGGAACAGATAAGGTGTTGGCCTCCTGTCCAGGTTCACTGTTCCTGTCCATCAGCACAACAGCCTCCTATCTCTCTGTTCTGCTTCATACTCGCTCCACTGGTCCAGAAGAGCCTCTGTAATCCCCTCACCCCAGGCTTCACTCATCTCAGGCTCTTTCCAGCTGGTCTTTTCTACCTTTTCCTCAGTGTACTATCTATTCAAGTCCAGGTCTTCTTTAAAATGAGCTCCATCTCCTTCTGCCAAAGGTTTCTTCATCTTCTCTCTGTGAGTCTCCTTCTGAGCTGCCATGCTCTTCTCTGTATACAGGATTATACTGATGTTGAGCTAATTATCCTGTAACCTTGCGTGGGACAGACTGCGATGTACAACATACAATAGGGGCCGAATGCATGAGATGCCACCTGTCCTGCACTACAGTAGTTGTTTTGTGCCTGTTTTTTGAGAGTCAACTTTAGACACCAGTGGACTTTGATATTCTGTATAGGCAGGACATACCTCTGACCTTGGACTGGTTGAATAAACAGGAAGAGAACATTTGCCAAGAAAGACCAGATATTATGCAAGGAAAAGGTGCACAGGAGTGGGGTGGTCTCACAAGGAGGCTCAATCCTGGAGGGTCATCCTGAGCTCAAAGCACAAACATAAATAAGATGTCTGGGCCTAGTTATAGACATGTGATCACCTGCTATTATCTTCTTCTAGGAAACAGTCAATGGTAGATCTTGCTGAGTTTTTGAGGGAGAAATCATCTCACAAATGGGAAGTGGCCAGTATGGGCCGGTCCACAGAAGGTTCTTCGTACTTTGGAGGGCAGTAAAAACGTGGGGTTCTGATCTTGTAATGTCAAATGAGCTTCTATCTCCAATGCCGTCCAGCCCCTGGGATCAGTGTTGGACACAGCCTTAGGGAAAGCATGATAGGAAAGTGCAGAGTGGGTGGGTGGATGTTCTGTGGGCAGATGACCAGGGGACCATTGGTGTGAAGCTGAGTGAGGTAGGACTCACTCATCCTGTTGGCCTATTAAGAGAAGAGAGGGAACTCATCTGCATTAACCACAGGCTGCTATGGCCAAGACACACCTGAGTACTGCCCCTTCCCAGCGGAGTCATCCAACGCTGGTTCCACTGAGTGTGAGCTACGTGTCAGGGAAAGTTGCCTAGCCTCTCCAACCCTTACCTTCCCCATCTATACAATGTGAACATAGCGATGACTTGCTTTGTGAAGGGTGAATGTGAGTGCCCAGACGGTGTCCTGTACCAAATCATTAATATCACCTTGCTGATAGCTGCCTCATAAAGACAACCGGACCCAGTCTTTGCAAATGCTTTATTGTTATTACAAAGTAAAATTCGGAAAGCTAATCATCAGTGCCTGTCATCAACACCCTACTGTCTGTGAAAGACCTCTGTTCTCTCTCTGTAGCCTGGCCTGTGAGGTGAGAGAGATGATGGCTGCATTCTAGGGATGGCGTGATCCTGCACTGGACCCCAACATGATGGACTCACAGATGATGGTCAGCTGTTGTGCTTAATGGATGAGTGGCGTGTGAGTGGACTGAGCCAACCGTGACTGCCCTAGAGCAGCCTTTAATGCTTCCAAGGGTGGGATTCTTGTCTTGATCCTTCTCTGTATGTGGGGAAAGTCAGGTTTACAGATGGACTGTGTTATGCCAGTGTCACACATGTGGACAAGGCTGGGGCTGTAGCCCCTATACCAGACCTTCATTCCAGAGTTCTTCCCAAACCATGATGAATTGAGAGTTGTTGGCTGATAGGTGGGACCACACTTAAACAGGTGCTTTGTGGTAGCTCACACCTACTCTCCTGCAGAACCTTGTGGCCCTGGATTCTAGCCTGTCCATGCCACAAAGGTACAGTGTGAGCCTGGGCACATCAGCTGGCCTCTCTAGGCCTCTCTAGGCTAATCTTCACTGGCTAAAGGCAAGGGAAAGACCAGTGTTGTCCTAATCACCCATGTCTCCTTGCTGTATATCAGAGGAAGCAATTATCAGTATATTGACAGCATTATGGCCTATGATGCCTCATTAGGCAACTAAACCTATGTGAATCACTAGCTACCAGAAGACAGATGACCATACCACACTTCTGGCTCTCCTATGAGCTCTGCCCAAATGGGAGGCCTGTGGAATTCAGGAGCAGCCCCCCTCAGGGGTGGTTCACTTTCCCAAGGAAGAGGATGTTCTGATTCTGCAGTATGAGTAGCAGAAAGGGCTTGTTGAACACAATCCTTGGTGGACTCAGTTGGGCCGATCGGAAGGTGAAGATGACTCCTGTGGCTGCAGCCGCCCTGGTCCCTGCCTCATCCACGTCCACCTTTGCTTTGTGCACCATCTGCAGGGGGGACACTAGGTGTCAGTGGACCGCTGGGGTTGGGGGAGTCTTTCCAAGAATTGGCATAGACATTGAAACCGTGTCTGTGGGAATCAACACCAAAGCACCAAAACACTGAGCAATGAAGTGGTAGGAGAGGGAGCCACTGAGCAGGTGCCCTGAGCCAGACACTACCTGGAGGCACATGTCAGCCATCGAGTTCCTGTGACACCTGACAATGACATATGACTCTAATTTTACAGACAAGAGAAAAGCCTGGAGACTCAAGGATTCGCTGGAGGCCATACATCTAGGGAAGAAAGAAACGGGTGCCCCAGATTTTGAGATCTGATCACTTGATATAGGATTTCTTTCCCTTAGGCAGGGCATGGCTTTCCATTGCCAAAAGGATAAGACTTACAGGAACAGCTTTGTGCTCTGGGGAAAGGAGGAAGATATGGGCTGGGCTGGGCTGGGCTGGGATCGGATGGGCTAGGTTGGGGTAGGATGGGATGGGTTGGGGTGGGATGGGGGGGGTGAAGTGGGATGGGTGGGTAGGATGGATGGGAAGGGATGGAGTCGTCTGAAGGCCGGTACTCAGTAGTCTCAGGACCCACCTCTGACACCTGGGTGTTGGGGTGGTCAGTGATGCCGGACAGGTCTGCATAGGAGGAGAAGACATCACTGATACCAAGCCTGGGCAGAATTTTCTCCAACTGGTAGGACCCTTCAATGGAGAATCTGGGAAGGTAAAGCTGGAGTTCCCTAGAGAGAAAAACAAGCACCAAAACAAAACAGCTTTTTAAAAAATTTTTTGGTAGTTTTTGGGTTTGAACTCAGGGCCTCATGTTTGCTAGGCTGGCTAGATGTTTCCAGGTCTGGAGTTGTTTTTCTCCAATTACTTTTAGGATAAGGTCTTGCTTTCCATCTGGACACATGACTTTTATCATTTCTTGGAGCACAGGCCCAAGCCACTATGTCCAGCTTCTCCTTGTGGAGATGTGGTCTCAGGGACTTTTCTGCCCTAGTTAGAGTGGAATCACGATGTATCCCATGTAGCTGTGGATGACAGGAAAGTCTGTGAGACTACCAAAACATCCAAACAAGAGCGGTGGCTCAAGTGATAGAGTGCTAGCCTGGAGCACAAAAGCTCACAGACAGTACCCATGTCCTGTGTTCAAGCCCCAGGACTGGCAAAAACAAAAAAACAAAAACAAGTCCTTTTCTTATCTGAGCATGAGTGATTCATACTGTAAGCCTACTACTTGGGAGGTTAAGAAAAGTTCTCAAGACCCTTTCTGAATCATAGCTCAGTCTCACAGACTGCCCAGACTACCTTCAAACCATGATCCTCAGATCTCAGCCTCCCGAGTAGCTAGGATTATAAGCGTGAGCCCCAGAGCTTGACAAGCAAAGGACATACTTTTAGGCTGATCATGGCTCATGGAATAACTTTCAATTGGCTTCTCTCAACCTCGTCTGCTACTCTGGCTCCTTCCCTATGCTGTGGATACAAACGGCTTGACCTCAGAGAGCCCCCCGGGGAAAGCTAGCTCTCAGTTCTGGTTCCTTCAGCAGGGCCACACCCCTGGGCCCATGACCTCATGAAATGCCCGGATGTAGAGGCAGCTCACTGGCTGCTTGAGCCCTTGTTAGGCCCGGACCACCTTGGGGCCTGGGGATGGGAGGGTAGTACTGGGCTGACCCCGGAGTACTCTGACGAGTACCTCTTTGTGAACATGCGAAGCCACTTTTTCACCGTGTTCTGGCTCAGCCCATTCTCCAGCTGCTCCATCTTGCCCTGGTTGGGGAGAACGAACAGCGCCGTGGCATTGCCTTGGTAGGGGACGCCCACCACCCTGCAGGCAAGGGTCTGGTCCAGGAAGTAGTCAAACTCGTCGACGCGGTTCATCATGGGCACCTGCACGGCCGTCTCCGGGGTCACGTGGAAGTCCTGCTCCTGAGTGTTTTTGATGTTGAAGGCTGTTTCCCACTTAGCTAAAGAAAAAATAGCGACGGGGATGGAAGAGAGCTTTGTCTAAGAAGGAGAAAACCCCACCTGCCCATGAAGAATGGAGACAGTCTGCAGACACAGCAGCAGGACACCCAAACTCCCAAGGCCCGAAGGTAAGTTCCTTAATAACTCTGGGACGGCCTGGACCTCTTATGGGGCCTCCCCTCCATCTCCCTTTCCCCCATCCCCCGCATCTCCACCTGCCCCCTGAGAAGATCAGCTTTACTGTCTGCTGAGGACCTTGGCTCTTTGTGTTCTTTGATGCTCTGCTATTATTCACATAGCCAATGGAAGAAGTCCAGACAAGTACAAGATGGCGGACCATGCTCAACCTGACAGCTGCGAGAGAGTTCCTCTGCTTTCCTTAATATTTGATTTTGGTCTCAGTTTCCTCTGCTGGAAAGATATGATATTCCCCCTCCCTCCCAGAAAGTTGTCATGTGAACAAGGTCTCCCCTCCTTCTCCCAACCCCCACATTTTCTCTTTTGCTTAAACCAGTCTGGAGAACGATCATCCTACAACTACCCCCCTGAATACCTGGTATCATAGGCAAGCACTACCACATCCAGATTACTAGTTGAAATGGGGTCTTACTTAATTTGCCTGAGTTGGCCTTGAACCTCCATCCTCCCAGTTTCTGTCTCCCGAGTAACTGGGATTACAGGAGTGAGTTACCATGTCTGACCCTCACGTCTTAGTAGTTACTAAAGACAGACCCCCACCAAAAATCAGACTCATTTTACACCTGTCTTCTGCGGCTTGCTGTAGCAGGATCCATGCTGAGCTAGGAATCATGAAATCTAGACTTCGTTTGTGCCACTCTCCACCATTGAGTGACATTTGTGTCTATTCTCCAAAATTCATTTGTTGGTTCTAACCCCGAGGGTCACAATATTAGGAGGTGGGGTCCTTGGGAATCAAATCCGTGATAAGAGCGGAGCCTCATGAATGGGATTGTCATCCTTACAGGAGAAGCCCTCCCATGGACACTGGCCACAAATCAGGGGACTGCCTCAGCAGACTCCGAATCTATGGCTGATCCTCAACTCCATAACAGACCGAGACCCACCCTGGCTGTCTGTGGCTGCTGAAACAGGGACAGGACAATTGAACTCCCCCCCTTCCTGCCTTTTCTCTCTTCTCCCTCCTCTTTCTCCACTCCTGCTCCCTCCCCCCCCTCAGTGGGAGCTGGGAGGGCTGCCAGGGGCACCTCATCTAGAAGGAGACATAGAGTCGCCCACTGGCAGGGCTGGGTGTTCACCTGCAGTATAGGTGAGGAGAGAACTTTTCAGAGGAGCAGCAGGTGCTTCTCTACAGACATCCTGGTAGCAAGGCAACTGGAAAGGCAGCAGGCAAGGGCCGGGTGAGGGAGGGGCTGGGACATGTCCGCCAACCTCTTTCACGCCATACTCATTCTCTGAGAGGCGGCAGGGAAGGGCAGCCTGCCTCCACTGACACCATCTCACCAGCAAGAAAGTCTTTCCTGTATCCCAGACCCCAGGGGGGTTGAAAGCCACCCTCTGGTTCCCTTTTGTGTCTATTGTTTTGCTAAAAGCAGGAGGCAGGAGAGAGAAAGTACAGATTTCAGCCCCAATTCTCACCTTTAAAGAAAATGTAATTCACAATCACCATGAAATGGGTGCTGTCCAGGTTGCGGATCAGGTCCACAATCTTGCCATTGGTTTGCTTTGCCACATAGTCGTTGATCTGCTTCATGGTTGCGATGGGGTCTCCAAAGCTGACGGGAAAGGTGTCTGCCAGGTACAGCGTCTTCATGGCCCTTAGGAAGCTGTCGTGAATGGCGATTGCAGGGTCCATGAAGAGGGCGTTGCCCAGGGTCAGCTGGAAGCCCTCTCTGGGTTGGCTGAGTTCCTGCAGGAGCTGTTTGAAGTCCTCATGGAGCTGGTCCTCTGACCTCTGCTGGAGGTGGACGCCCAGACTCTCCAGGATCTGTGCCTTTGTGTGGGCTTGGGCTCCCAGGCAGAGCATGGCCAGGCTGGTGGTCACACTCACAGGGGAGAAGAAGATGTTCTGGCCATGGGCAGCCGAAGCCAAGCTTCTGTAGAGGTCAAAGGTGAAATCCTTGGGACCGGAGGCCACGGTAGCTCTGCCAGAGGGCTTCCTGCCTTTCTTCTTCATCTCCCGGGGGTGGTAGCGGCGAGTGGTAACCTGAGGGCTGAGGAGCATCAGGCACAGGAGGAGGACCAGCTTCATGATGGCTGCCCTGAAAGGAAGAACAAGAAGGTGTTCTTGGAGAGGGCATGGCTGGGCTACTTCCTGTGGAGAGAGACCCTGGGAAGCCAGCAAGGCTGACACTGTGGAGGGATGAACACACCCAATGCCCAACATGTAGGCTGGATCTACAGGGCTGCCCTGCAAAGGCTGGAGCAGAGTTTGTAGCAGAGGGAGACAGCTGCTTCAGGAGAGACTCGGGGGCATGATGTCCAACAGTCAGGAGAAGAAGCAGGAGGCAGAGGAGGTACAGGTATGGCCACCAGGACAGGGTTCTTCCCCAGCCATGCCATCAATCTTGATGTGGGGAGTCAGGGTGGGGTGGGGGGAGAGAGCCTCTCACGCTCTGTCCTGTCAGCATTGCTGAGGCTGGCAGGGAACGAGAGTCTGTACCCGTGGTCACAGGCGTTTCTGTGGGTTTCCTGACCAGCCCTGTGGTCCTATCAGCTCAGCCCAGCTGCTCCCCTGTGCAGCGAGAAGCCAAGGAGGGCACTGGGGTGTCCACTAATACCCTCCTCTTCCTGAGGCTGCTCCAAGTCACCCTTGTGTGACACTGTCCCTTCCTGAAAAATGCTTGCACACTCAGTGTGGGAATCCAGACCTCTTTCTTCTTCCATTAGGGGGTGAATAGTGCCCCTTAAAATTCATATGAAATCCTCACCCCAACACCTCACTGTAAAACTTCACTTACAGAGGGACGTGTACAAAGCATTGAAATGAGGTCATTGGATGGGCTCTAATCTTTGTGAGCCCACTGTTGGCTGCTCACACCTATAGTCCTACCTACTCAGGAGGCTGAGCTCTGGGGGGCTGAAGTTTGAAGCCAGCCCAGATAGAAAAGTTCATGAGACTCCAGCTCTAAAACAACTAGCAAAAAGCCTAGCTGGGGGTCTGGCTCAAGGGATAGAGTGCCAGCCAAACAGATGTGAGGTCCTATGCTCAAATCCCAGTACTAGAAAATTAAAATGAATAAATAAAGAGGGTGATAGGATCCCGGTACACACCTGGGGATGACCATGTGAAGACACAGAGTCTGTAGCACCTGCCAGCCAAGGAGAGGTGTGCCGCTATTTCTCTGATCTTGGACTTCTCCCATTATGAGAAAATAGATCCCTGCTGTCTAAGCCCCCAGCCTGTGGGGTCTCTCCTTAAGTCTTGCAGTGGAGGCTGCATTCTCTCCTGCCCTCAGGTGGACCTCTGGGGGCTTTCTATGCTCCTGCCTCCTTCTCGAGCCTTTAGTCCCTCTTCCTCCTCCTCCCTCAAGTCTGTCTGTCCAGCACCTGCCTCAGGGCCTCCCATCGTCTACTTTGCTGGTACCTCCTCATTTGCTGCGTGGGTTCAAACCTCAGCTCACTGTATTCTCCTAGTAGCAAGTTGCTGTTCCTGGAGCCAAGGCCTACCTGGGGCCTTGGGAGGGTGGCAGCCTTCCCTTAGTGTGACAGCCCGCCCCAGTATGACAGCCCACCCTTACTGTGACAGCCCACCCCTAGGGTGACAACACACCCCTAGTGTGGCATGCTGCCAGAGCTGCGGGACATGAGGTATATCACATGGCAGATCCCAAAGCCCCCAGCTGACACCCCAGTTCCTCAGGGGGTAGCGTGGGGTGCAAGCTTCCCATGCATGCAGACACAAGCTTGGTGATGTTTCATCCTTGCACTGTTCTTGGGAAGAATCCAGGTTCCTGGGGTCCCCATGCCACCATCTCATTGAGTCCCCTGGACCCAGATCAGGAGGGATAGCCTGTTGTGGTCCTAAGACCCAAGCAAACCCAAACCCCAAAAGGTCCAAGCAGCAGAATGGTGGTCCCACGGTGAGACCCCTGGCCGGGAAGGCGTGGGAGCTGCAGACAGGGCTGCAGGCCTGCCTCTGCGACCAGAGTTGAGTTCATCCCCATCATCTCCAATCTCAAGCTGCACCCTGAGTTCAGAGGAGGCTCTTCTAGAACATTCTGCCTGCAGAACCCCTGGGATTGGGGTACAGCAGCCTCGGTATTCACCTGGCCACAGGAAGCCCAGTGAGACATCCCTTCTCCACTGAGCTCTCTGTCTTGATATAACTTTGTCCATCAAGGGGCGGCTCAGGCTCCATTCCACAGACAGGAGAGCGTCTCTAAGCACTGCCCATTCAACGCCCCCAGATCCCTGGGCTGTGCCTCAAAATCCTGCTTCTGTGAGCCCCGAGGTAGATAACCCTAATCAGCAGATAATTCAGCAACACTCTGCCCTCTTGCTGCACTCCCTCTTGGTTCTCACAAGATAGCACCTTTCCAAGTCTTCAAGACATGGTGGGGAGGAAGTCTTGTGTCCTTTGCCCGGTCTTTGTGTTCTGTACCCCTGTGTGGGGGAGGTCCTTCTGGACAACCCACAAAAGCTCAGGGCAAAGATGAGAGCTTTCCTACAGGAAGAAGCGGCCCCAGAACCCATGCAGCTGGTCGGGTCTCCTTAGCAAGCTGCTCCTGCTCCCTGGGCCTCAGTTTCTTCACTGGCAGTACCAGGTCTGTCTATAATCAACACTGGGGGACAAGAGCAGCTGTATCACCATAGCTCCCCCACCTTGACCAACAGCTCTCTAGGTCTCCAGGGATAGCAGGGTCTGTGCTGCAAGGCCCAGGGTCACATCGGATCCCCTGGGTGGTCTTGTTCTGTCTGGATCCACTCCTTTAGGAAAGCCACTAGTTTGGAAGGACCTAAGAGACTCTCTGTAGGTATGGCTACATCTAAATTCACAGCAGGAAGGCCTGCTCATCAGCTCCATTTTACAGATGGATAAACGGAGGCTGAGAGAAATGGAAAAGCTTATTCTAGCTAGGGAATGATGGAACCTGGGTTCATATCTGGGTGCTTCTGGCTAGCTCACGCGCTGACCTTGGCTGCCTTTTGTGGCTCTGGGGAATGACACCTCCTTCCTTGCCCCTATCTTCTGGGTGCCGGCTTTTCTCAGGCTGTTCTCTCGCATTAGGTCCCTTACAGACTTGGGATTATCTTAGTATCGCAGAGGCCAGAAAGGCTTCTTTGACGGCAAGAAGAGTCCTCAAGAGCTCACTTTAAAAAAATTTTTAGAAAGCCTGAGCATTTGCATTCTGCTCTGGTGGAAATACACAGCTTGGATGGAGATTTGTACCAATGCAGAGCCAGGGTATGTCTGCCCCAGGTCCCAAAGGAGGACAGGGAGACGCTGGGCTGGCTGGTCCTTCCTGGCCCAACATGAGTGAGCTGCAGTCTTACATGGTTGATTCAAGACTCAGCTGAGGAAGGATGCAGCGGTGTGTGTGTGTGTGTGTGTGTGTGTGTGTGTGTGTGTGTGTGTGTGTGTGTGTGTGTGTGTGTGTGTGTGATGATCCAATATCTGTTCCTTCACTAGGATTTTCCCCTTGTTTTATTATTATTATTTTTTGTTGTTGTTCTCAAAGCCCCACCCTTAGAAAAACTGGATATTCCTCTCATGTGATTTCTGCTGTGTCACACGCTGCTCAGCAGCTCCCGGGGGTCAGGGAAGCGGCAGGACCAGCCTGCGGGCAGCCTCCAGCGTCTACCCTGGGAGTGTGAGGGGGCTGTTTGTTCTCAGCTGAGCCGATCACATTTGAGTTTTTCCTGATTTCTAAGGTCCAAGACAACAGGCACTGAGAACAGAAAAACTTGCTGTGTCCCCATCTGGTCCTGCGGCCTTGTTTCAGAGGCCCCCCACCTCTGCCTGCGGGATCTTTCCTTGTAGGGGGGCTGTGCTGGGCATTGTGGGATGGCTGGCAACACCTCTGCCTTTGCCTACCAGATGCCTGTAACGTCCCTTCTGGCGGTGACCACCTAGCCCGTCTGCACAGGGGGCGCAGTGCGCCTGCGTGAGTCACAGCATTGTAGCTGTGTCTCAGTTACACTGTGTAGATGGCGTAACCATTTCCGTCCTCCCTGTGAGGAAACTGAGGCTCAGTGTTGCTGAGGTGGCTGGGGGAGGGGAGACTTACCTCATTGACCTCTCCCCCCCACCCAAGGGCCCAGCTTATTGCTGGACACCACAGAGGCCTTTCCTGCCACCTTGGGACCCCACAGAACTTTAGATCTCTCCAAATCTGGTACTCTGGGCCTGTCCCCTCCACCCCAAGCCCACCGGGGCCCATCCCAATGGTGTACTCACTCTGTGCAGAGACCAAGCGTGTGCACCGCAGAGAAGGCAGCCCACGGAGCTCAGGAAAGGGCAGAGGGCGGGCTGGGCTGCAGCCTGTTATTGTCTCTGATCCCAGGGCTCTGTCCCCACCCCAGCCCAGCCCCGCCCATCCTGCTCCGTGCGGCCTTTCATGCACTGGCCAACAGACCTCAGCAGACACAGTGGCTTGAGTCAGAGCCTCTCACCACGCTGCCTGTTCACTGTGCCCCAAGGCCATGCTGGCCACCATCTGCCTCCCAAGAGATGGAAATGCCAGGCTGCCAGCTGCTGGTGCTCCGGAGCAGAGCAAAGGACACAGTTGACCACCCTCCTTCTGCCAGGCAGGATTCCTTCACTTCCTGCAGTCAATTTCTTGTGGATTCTGTGGCCTTGGGCTGCTTCCCCACAAGCCTGCCGTCCGTTTTCTGCAGTCAGTGGGCAAGTCTCACAACGGTGGGTATGCAGAGGTCATTGCACCCACCTCCAGTCACCAGTGACCCCACAATGCTCAGAAGGCCAAGGGGAACGTGGAAGGTCTTCATCAGATTAGGGGCCTGGGGACCAGAACCTTGAGGCCAGGGCTCTTTGCTCAGAAATGGGCCACATCTGGGACTTCAACTTGTGCTCAGTTTTCTCCTTTGAGGCTGAGGCTCTCTCATGTTGCCCTAACTCAAGGGCATGTCTAAGACCGGGTGCCCTCTGCTGACAGGAGCTTTATGATGTTTCTAAATTCCCGGGCCTGTGGCTTCCTCTCAGCCCTGTGCACAGTGTGTGGCCATGACCCAGGAAGGTCGTGTGGGTGCGAGGTAGAGCGCGCAGGGCCCAGTATACTCCGTGAGCAAACTCGATGCTCACAGCAGGTCCGTGCTCCCTCCAGACATCCCCCACCCCCACCCATGCTTCTCATGACCGAGGGCAAGGTCAGTGACAGGGCCTCTGGGAGCCCCAGGGAGGGTGAGAACTAGAAACCAGGCTCTTCTCAGCCCGGACACTGCCTGTGTTGTGATCCGTCAGTGTTGGATACATCACCAGCCAATACATCACCACCCGACGTCTTCAGGAAAATCCTGGGAATTTGGGATTAGGTCAACCCTGCCTTTGACCTCCCATAATTCTGCTGTTGCACACCATACCTTGCTGCACCTGTTACTTGTCTGCCTGGGTCTGGGTCCACATGTTCACCCTCCCTCCCTCCTTCATTCCTCCCTCCCTTCCTCCCTTCCTTCCTTTCTTCCTTCCTTCCTCCTTGCCTTCCTTCCTTTCCTCCCTCCCTCCCTCTCTCCTCCATCCCTCCTTCTCTCCCTCCTTTCTTCCCTCCATCCCATTCCTCCCTCCCTCCTTCCTCTCCCTCTCTCCTCCCTCCCTCCCTCCCTTCCCTCCCTCCTTCCTTCCTTCCTTCCTTCCTTCTTCTCTCCCTTCTTTCCTTCCTCTTTCCTTCCCTCTTTCCTCCCTCCCTCTCTCTCCTCCCTCCCTCCTTCTTCTCCCTCTCTTCCTTTCTCCTTCTCTCTCTCCCTTCCTTTTTCCTCTCTCCTTCCTTCTCTCCCTTCCTTCCTTTTTTCCTTCCTTCCCTCCTCCCTCCCTCCCTCCCTTCCCTCCTTCCTTCCCTTCTTTCTTCTTTCATTCCTACTTCTTCTCTCCTCTCCCTTTTCTCCTTCTCTCCCTCCCTCCTGGTGCCTGCTCTCCCTTCTCCTTCCTCTCTCCCTCCCTCCCTTCCTCCCTTCCTTCCTTCCTCCCTCCCTCCCTCCCTCCCTCCTTCCCTTTCTTCCTTCCTTCCTTCTTCTATCTCTTCCTTCCTTTCTCCTTCTCTTCCTCCCTCCTTCCTCTTCCTTCTCTACTCCCTCCCTCCCATCTTCCTCCCTCCTTCCCTCCCATCTTACTCTCTCCCTCCCTAACTCCCTCCTGCCTTCCTCTCTTCTTCCCTCCCTTCCTTCTTTAACCAGATGTAACTGGTTAAGACACGGTCACACTGGAGCAGAGCAGACTCTAATCCAACGTGAGCCATGCTCATTATAGAGGGGAAATCTGGAAAGAACTTGGCCCCTTAACTGCTGGCAGGGGCTTATTGCCTGGGGCTGTCAGCATGGCACCATCTCACCTCGAGAAGCACCACATCCCACAGAGGGCCTCCTCCCTGCCCTGTGTCCACCACACCAAGTCAGCAGCCAAGGCCCCAGACCTGCATCCTTGGGGACCCCATGTCCCCCCTGCCATTTCCAGGGCTCTGGCTGGTACAGGGCTCTATGCTTCCATTCACCGAGGAGGGAATTCAGATCCACAAGAGAAGCCATGGCCCCAGTGTATCACCGATGGAGTGGTGGGACCGAAGTCCTGTCCACTTCCCTCCACACTGCAGCGGTCCCTCTGCCGGCTGCCCGGCCACCGGTCCCTGCTCTGTGACATAGCAAGAAATACATAGTTGAGCTCTTCTCTCCAGCAACTGAGTCAGAGGTTCTTACACCTCATAGGGAGTGGTACTGGAAGAATCTTTTTTTTTTTAAATTTTGTATTTGATCCCTAAAACCTTTTCAATTTCTTAAGTGATAGTAGTGTCCGACATAGAACTCCTCTGGTTACCAGAGAAAGCAACCCTATGACTGGAAGGCTGGGAAGTTTTGCCTCATCACTCCTGCCCTCTAGGGACAAGAGAAAGACAAGGCTCATCAATGGCCAACATAATTAACTGTGCTGTGTAGGATTTGCCATAAACTGGAAAGGACAAGGACCCAGGAGCTTCCAGCCAGCAGCTGATCACGTGGAGGAGCATCGAGGGGGAGGGGGAAGCGTGGGAAAGGTCCTGGAGGCTCCCCTTCCCCCAGGCTTTGTCCTGTGCCCCTCTTTCATGAGACTTCATTGCTGCCCTTGATTAACAGCATAAACTGGCAACATTCTGTCAACTCTCCTAGCTGACCACCAGACTCTCAGGGAAGGGGTTGTGGGCATGCCGTGTACAGCCAGCTGGCAGAAGTGTAGGTGCATTAAAGGACAATCTGACTCTGACTCCAAGTGGACCATGAGCCAGCTGGACAGAATGGACTTGTAGGGTTCAGCATTGGAATCTGCCACGGTTTTGTGAAGGCCAGAATGTGGTACCAAAAAGGCCTATGGCTTGCTGTCCCCTCTCAGACACAGTGAGCCCCCATTCTAAGTGAAGAAGGAAGGGAATCACCCCCTGAGCCAATCTCTGCATGCCACTCCCAGACTCCTCACCACTGTTACCCTCCTGCGATCCAGGGTCTCGTGGGGACCGGAGTGTGTCACAGGTGGTCACGCTGTCTCTGTCTGCACTCCGCCTCAGAGGCCAGACATGTTTTCTTGCTGGCAGATGGCCAGAGGATCACAGACACGATGGTCCCTCTGCACACTGGCTTTGGGCTAGTGGCAGAACCTTTACAAACCCAAGGTCCCAAAGACAGCGACAAATGTAAAAGGGGCCCGGGCACCGCACGCGGGCTGCAGCATCTCCTGCCTGACATCTTTATTTCACTTCAGTGTTATTCTCTTTAATGCTCCCAAAGGGCATTTTGAAATCTGAGAGGTTGGACTAAATATTTGCCCAATCAATTTCAGGCCAGGGCCTGTTAGCAGTGGTGGTGCAGAACAAATAGCTCAGCGACCTTGTACATAGCCCAGTGTCCAGCTTTCCTTCCCATTCACTTCTTCACTCAATCGTTTGTTCATTCATTCATTCTGTAAGTACTGGCTGGGGCACTGGTGTATACAGTTGGCGCAGAGATCAGGGAGCTCAAGGAAGTCAGAGCACATAGTGCTGACTGAGGTGTTTCATCTCATGGGCTGGGGTAGGTTAAAAAGGCGAAATGATTCTCAGGCCAGTTGCTTTTGATAGCAGGATGGCCTTCTGTCTTGAAGGGGTGTGGGTGGGCATTTGTGTGAGGCCTTGTATGGCATCTCAGATGGAAATCTGTAGGAGAAAGGCTTGGAGGAGGCCTGAGGAGACAGCAGGATCTTCTGTGACTGAAATCACAGGAGATCGGAGAGCAGAAGGAGGGACTGAGGCATCAGGGCAGGCAGTATCAAGGGAGAATCTCTTATGGTCCCTTTTTAGACCTGACTAGACTCCACTCTAAAGGAAGAAGGAAGTGAATCAGTCTCTGAGCCACGTCCACCAATAAACCCATGGGCCACTGCCCAGAGGAGGCGTTAGTCATACACCACTGAGGTCAGCAGCTAACGAAGCTAGTTTTTGCAGGCCTGCCTCCTTCTACAGGAGCTGTGCTCATTCTCCCTCTCTCTGCAGGGGGAGGTGAGGGACCTTGCTCCTTGAAGAATTCAATATGGGCTGGACCAGCTGGGACAGCCTATATTACTCAGGAGGGGAAAATGAGGCCCAAGAAGAGGCAGAGTTTGTATGAATTTCCATAGCACATCAGTGGCAGGGCCAGCAGGTGAAAGACATGCTCCCAGCTTGTCCCTTGTTCCTGTCTCCTCACTCTTGGGCAAAGCCACCCATACCAGAGCAATACGAGTACCTCTTATGGCCACAGGCAGGAAGCCCTCACCAGCCTGGATTGGTGCCTCCCCTTCCCAGATCCTAACCTGGAAGGAGGCCTGGGTTCCCCTTACCATCCACCTGGACAGCCTACTGGGATCTAGAGCACCTTTCTCCCTATGCCCCCAGGTTTTCCAGGGAAGGACAGGGTAAACCCTAGAGGGACAGGCAGAAGACACCTTTGTGAGGGTCCAGTATGTAAGCAGAATGGCTTCAGAGTCTCTGAGACATCACTTGGTTTAATCAATGTGGCCAGCTAGAAGGCTCTCTCCCGCTCCCCAGCCATCTCACCCCCATCCACCCATGCCCCTCCCTTTGCCAATGGCTTCTGCCCTGGACTCAAGCCCCTCTCACATGCCCAGGCTTGACCACAGAGCCGCTTCCATGCAGCCCTTCCCAGCCAAGTCCTCCCGCTGGAGGCAGGGAGACCTGAAAGGGCTAAGAGGTTGTGGGCTTGACCACCTTGCCCTGAAAGAGGACAGTCTGCATCCTGGATGAAAAGAGGATCATGAAGAAGGGTCTGTTGAACCGCAGGACTGGAGGGTTGTGCTGGGCAGATAAAAAAGCAATGGAAAAACCAGTGGCCGCGGCAGCCTCGGCGCCAGCTTCATTCACGTCCAGGGTGGCCTTGTGGAAACTCTACAAGAGAAACCACAGGCATTACCTCCACAGGCATTACCTCCACAGGCATTACCTCTGCAGACATTATGCTGGGTGGTGCTGGGTAAGGACTGGAAGACAGGGAACTCTTAGTGATCAGCATTGCCAAACCACCCATTGCTGGGATGGCAAAAACCTGTGGTCACTGAGTTGGATGACAGGTATCAGTAATGGAACCCTGTGTATGTGAGATCACGTGATCACCATAGCCATTCTACAAAATCAGCATCATATTGACCATTCTCCACATGCGGACAGTTAATTCAAAGACCAGGCAATGTCCCAAAGTCATAAGAAACAAGTCTTCAATCTGAGAGGGTCTCTAGTACATGTCTGCTTTCCCCAGCCAAAGTCACATTACTCTTATTTAAACACACATGTGCACATACACATACACACACATATACACACACCTGGGCTATTTCCATATTGCATTTCCTCTCCTTGAGGAAATGTGTCAGCTCTGAGACATGACCCTCAGTGACTAGCATGTGACTGTCCCACCCCAGCTGCTCCCTAGAGGCATGACCCGCCCTCCCCCCCCCCAAGACTTGCTGATCCTTGATCACTCACTTTGGATACGTGCAGTTTCCGCTGTCTGGTGATGCCAGAGAAGTTAGCCTGCTGAGAGAAGATGTCCCTGAAGCCCAGCGTGGACAAAATCTGATCCAATTCATAGGAGCTTGAAATGGAGAACTTGGGGAAATGCAACTCCACTTTTCGGTAAAACTTTCTGGAAAGAAGATTGGGGAAAACCATTCAATTCATGAAGCAACCAGATTTCCAGGAATGCTCAGTCCTCCTTAAAGGGTACTCTGACCATACCTCCACTTCTGCGTTTGCTCAAAAGGAATGCCTGTGGCTCAGGTGCCCTCTCAGAGAGCAATTGCAGTGGCAGCAGGCTGCGTTCCTCTGTGTCTCCTGGGCCCTACAGCCTGGGAGCTCCTGCCCCTGGGAACTCATCTTCCACAGATGTTGAGTTCTGGGGCATCAAGGGGCTGGGAGGGTCGGGTGCAAATCCTCCACATGGCCCTTTGCCTTTGCCTCTGCTGGGCCCTGTGCACCTGCTCTGTACTGGATTTCTTCAGCCAGATCGGAGTGAAATTTTCACCTCGGTGGGGGACCTCAGGATGTCTTCTTTCCTCTACTATGGCTAAAACCTTTCACTCTGAGGCATTGGGTGGTGGAAAGCTGCCTTACTACTTCCTTGTGAGGGTAGATTTAATTTTATTAAGCCACTCAGGCAGCCAGAGAGCACTACATTTGTTTCACATGGGGGCAACAATGTCAGAGACACAATATCACTCGACCCATAGCCTGTGCAAAAGAAGAGCTACATCCAGATCCCTCAGCCTCTATGATGGTTCTCTCCACTGGTGAGGGTGAAATGATATTATGAATACCATAGAAGAGTTCACTATCCTGGGGACCCCATGGAAAGCGAGGACAAGTATCTTGCATAATGAACCCACCACAACCTGTTTGGGGACCCTGGCTTGTCAGTAAAGAGCCTATCTGCAGACCAATTTAGCATGAGGTGGTATGCTGGTTACCTGTTCTGGAGCAAGCGGTTCCACTTCATTAGCATCATTGGAGTCAACATCAGTTCCACCTGCTTCATCTTGCCTGGGTCAGGAAGGATGAAGAAGGCGGCTACAGGGCCTTGGTAATCCAACCGCAGCACAGAGCAGGGCACGTATCTGTCGTGAAAATACCAGTGCGGCCACCAACTCCGCATCATGGGCACTCTCACCGTGGTGACCGCATCCACGTGGAAGTCATCCATCCTGGTTTTGGAGACAGAGAAGGGCTTCTCCCACAGACCTGAAGGGAGATGTAAAGGAGGCAACAGAGTATCTATGGCCAGAGAGCCAACCCCCCAAGGGAGGAGCACCACCAGGGGCCCTCAGCCTGGTCCCTTCTATCTCATTCGTATACACCACCAAGGGCATCCATGGCAGACGAGCCCTCAGGCTTGTTCAGCTTTTGGAAGAAGTAGTAGAGAGTGCTCATTGGCTGCTGTGTGCACAGCACTGGAACTCAAGGGGGAAACAGGAGGGGATCCTTGAGCGGAGTGGGAGCAGAGGGGCTGGCTCTCCATCCAAGGTGGGTCCCTTCCGCCATTGCATTGCACTGCTCTGAATGCAGGGAGGGGGGCAGATGTGGAGGCAAGAAGATGAGAGATTTCCATCTGCTTTCTCCATGGACTACAAAGCAAGGTTTTTAAGAAAGAGTGGAGAAGGGCATGGGGATCAAGGAGGAAGCAGATCCTCCTGGTTCTGGGGAGCATAGAGAGGTGTGAGGGGACCATCCATAGGTGATGTACGGTGGCTGGTACAGACCCACACTCACAAATACCAGGCGAGACCACTGTCCACTTGGGTTATTTCCTCCAGCCACAGCCAGCTGCAGCAGATGTGGGGAGGAGGTTGAGGACTAGCATTAAGCTGGCATACAGCTGTGCAGGTAAGTGTGAGGGAGAGCACATGGTTTCAAGGCAATGATCGCACTGAGCACTGTGCAAGCCTGTATCACTCCAGGCAGTTATGATCAGATGGACTTAGAGATGGTTGGCTGTGCCACTCAGTCTCTGCCTGCTTCCCTGTAAGTTCCCCCACCCTTATACTTTGGGGGGCAGCACCCCAACCTCTATGCTCAACAGTGGGCTGGTTACAGTGGTTTGACCTCACCTTTGAAATAGATATAATTCACCAGCATCATCTCGGTGTCTGGGCTCAGATCACTGACCAAATCGATGATCTTTCCACGAGTTTCCTTCTTTACATGGTCGTTGATGAGCTGGACTGTGCCCGCAGCGTCTTCAAAATGGGGGCGGAAAATCTTGGGGTTGTAGAAGGCCACGGTGTCATTGAGGAACCCCGGCAGGAGCTCCAGGTCGTGGCTCAGCAGCAGCACGTTGCCTAAACGCATTTCCAATCTGTCGTCCTGGAGGCTGAGGACACGCAGCAGCTGCTGGAAGCCCTGGTGGACATTGCGTGTGGACAGCTCGGTGAGATTGAAGCCAAGGCTGGTGAGAAGCTGGGTCTGGCTCCGTCCACGGGCCCCCAGTGACAGCATGGCCAAGGCCGCTGAGATGCTCAGTGGAGAAAAGAAGATATTCTTCTCAGGGCTTTCCGACGCAATTATGTGGAAGAGGCTGAAGGCAAAGTTCATATTGCCAGCAGTGACCTGGGGGTGTAAGGGACCCTCCTCTGCCCCCTGAGCCTGCTTGTCAGAGTTGTTGTTGGGAGCTTCATTGCCACCCTGACCACAGGAAAGGTCCAGGAATCCAACCAAAAGGAGCAGGCAGAGAACACGATGCATGCTTGGATCTCAGATCTGCAGAGGGAAAAAGATACCTAGAGCATTCCCGATCAGATGTCGGGCCTTGCTTAAATAGCAGCAGGCCCCGCCTCAGGACTGCTGACGCATTGCTGTAGGTGGAGACTCATTGGAGCAGCACCTGTGCTGGTAAGGACCTACAGGCCCTCTACAGGACTCATACCCCTTCACATTTTTGTTCAGGACTGCTGACGCATTGCTGTAGGTGGAGACTCATTGGAGCAGCACCTGTGCTGGTAAGGACCTACAGGCCCTCTACAGGACTCATACCCCTTCACGTTTTTGTTTTGTTGTGACTTTGTTTTGCTTTTGTTTCAGATAAGACCTTCCAGAGAAAACCCACATGGAATTGGTTCAAGCTGGATAGAATTGCCTATCCAGCCCCTCTTCCACAGAGCTACAGTAAGCATGGCTTATCGAGAGCTAACTTTCCTCCACCCAGGCATTCCTGCCCACCATCTTTGACCACACAGTGTAGAAAGTGTGATCTGCCACTGAGCCTGAAGGTCGCATGTGCTGCCTCTGAAGGTGATGGCGGGCCTTTCCACTGTGAACAAGTCTTGAGTGTCCCCAGTAAGTGTCCTGCCTCCCCGTGTTCAGGGAGACACTCCTTTGGGTGTTTGCCCTGCTGCTCTTTCGACTTCCTGGAGTGATAAATCTTCGTTGAGTCTTTTATCACCTGATTGTGCTTACCCTTGGAGTTCCATTACAGAGGAACACCTGTGCTCTGGTGCAGACAGAATACCGGGAGATACGCTGCTGTTCACCATATGCATAGTGCCTTTATTTGATAGCAGCACTTTAGATTCACAAAGCATGCTCCTGTGTCCCCATCCTTTTTATTTATCATCCCTGTCAACATAATGAGGCTTCGTCTCATTTCAGAGAGGAAATGACCAAGTCACCACCTAGCCAGTGTCCAAGCGGGAGCCCAGATCTATTCTCCACCAGGCCCTGCTTCCCTGTGCTGCACCTCCATGCTTTATCTCCAGGCCCAGGGACAGGACACAGGCTGAGCATTTCCAAGGTCATTGGAGCATCTGCTCCTGCCATCCATGCTGTACTTTACAGTCTACAGTCCACGTTCCCGACACTTCCTATGACCCTCCCCTCCACCAGCAGAGGCCAGGGGAACAGTTCGTATTACAACCCTTCCAAGAAGGGGGGAGTGATGGTCAAACGGAACCTGCTAAAGGTGGCCGTGACCGGTACTGATCTCCTTCTCACAAGGAACTTGACCTGGCCAAGGTAGACGGTGCCATTTTCCCCACCAGATCTGCTCTTGCTCTATCAAAGGACCCATGGTTATTGGACTCTGGGGCCAACAGCCCAGCAGCAGCTCTAATATCTCTGTGGCAGCCTTATGCCTACCGCTCTCCCTTTCACCCATTCTCACATCCTTGGGCCTCTCTCCTCCCCTGTAGGACAGGATCCTAGTCCAAGTCTCCATGTATTTTCCTCAAACCAGGGCTCAGAAACTTTCCCTAGGGAAGGGAAGGGCCCGATTGTGACCTTGTGATCTGGCAGGGCCATAGCCTCTGTGGTCATGGCTCATTGGGAAGCAGCCTGGATACAATGTACACAAATACACAGAACCCTGTTGTAGCAAAACTTGATGGACCCTGAAATCGCTTCCAAACAAAAAAAATCACAAGAGTTTGTCTATTGATATTTCTCTCAGCCACCTACGCAACTTACATTTATGTTTATGTTTGACATTCACCGCATCTATCTTCAACATCACACATATATTTTGTAGTGGCCCTTCTTGGCCAATGAAAAGCCACGTTTCTCTAATGTTGACTACTGCAGTAGCTCCTATGTGGTCTTTCTCCTCTGTTTCCCCTCAGCAGCTGGACGGGACATTTGAAAACACATCTCCACTTACCTGCTCAGCATGGCTGCCAAGATCCCCACCCCCAACACCACGAACTTCTCTGTGGATTTATGTGAGATCACCCAGAATCTTCTCTGGCAGGAACGTGCCAACAACTCCTGGTCTGGGAGCCGGAAGACTTTGGCCCCAGCCTGATCCACCTCAAGCTTTGGGTCTGGATACCTGCTGCACAGTACTGCAGCAAGAACAGTGGGCACCAGACATAGGGTTGGCATTTCTCACGTCCAGGAGGCACGGGGCAGTGAACTGTGGTCCTGGATGGCCTGAGACTTTCCTGGCTTTAGCACTGAACTGCTGGGACCCAGGAGAGCTCATAGTCCTGTGCAAACGTGTCACCCTCCCACTGCAGTCTCCATGTATCCATGGTCCCCGGGCTACTCACCGCACTGCCAGTCCTGCGGGGGGCCCTGGTGGCTGTCAGAGCTGTGGTTTATCAAGTGCAGGTGGACCAGAAAACAGGGCCTTTGAGCAGGATGCAATCCTCCCCACTCAGCTAATGATTAACGTCCAGACCCACAGGGAAGACATGGTATCCCACAGACAGCGAACTCCTTGCAGATGGGCCCACTCTAGAGCACTCCCTCTTTACACCCAGGGACCCCAGGGGTTCTCACATCTGCTTAGTGTGTGGCGGCTCAAGCCACCACCAGCCCTCCCCACCATTTTCTGTGTTTTAGTCCATATAGCCCTGTCTCTGGGCTTCAGCAGGCCCCCTCCCATGTCACAAGGAGGGGCAGCAAAGTCCAGTGACTCCATGAACTAGGTGAGGGAGCTGCCAGGTGAGAGGGAGGGATGGCGGCTGTGTGGACAGTCAGCCTTCACAGGCCACACTCACCAGCCATGGGCTGGGCCTGTCCAGGGCCTTCAGCTTACTGCCATGGACTATAGCATTTGGAGCCTTGGACCTCACAGGTTCAACCCCAAGGAAAGTGCATCTGGGACAAGGTAGACCCCTTCTTGGGCTGAGCATGCTTCCTCCCAAACCCTTGACCTGAAACCTGCTCTCTCTCGAGGAGCCTCTAGCCATGGGGAAAGCTATGTCTTAGGCAATTTAAGAAAGAACCGTGGTGATAGTAGAAGGGGTACAGCCTGTGGTGTTCAGGAGGAGGTGCCTTAATGACTCAGGGTTCCTTTAGGAGACTTTTTGTTTTTGGTGGTAGTTCTAGGGCTTGAACTCAGGGCCTAGGCACTGTCTCTGAGCTTTTGTGCTCAAGGCTAGTGCTCTACCACTTTGAGCCACAGCTCTATTTATGGCGTTTGGTAGTTAATTGGAGATTCTCATCTCCATGTCTCAAGGAATTTCCTGTCTGGGTTGGCTTTGAAACTTTAATCCTCAGATCTCAGCCTCATGAGTAGCTAGGATTACAGGCATGAGCCACTGGTGCCCAGCTTAGCAGACCTTTTGGAAGCGTTTCTAGGTGCTTGGGACTTAACTGAATGAATATACACACATAGCTCTGGGACAGGGCTTGGGATCCCTGAGCCAGGAAGAACTTGGGATGGCAAAGCACGTCAAGCCAAATCCCAGTGTCGTCATCATGTCAATATTGGGACAAGAGAGGACTGGATGTGTTAGGCTGTGAGATCTGTGCTGTCACTGAAGTCTCTCTCCTTCTTCTCTCTCTGTTTCTGTTACTCTAGCCCTCACTGACTCATGGCACACCAATGCCCAGGAAGCCATCAACCCGAGTCAGGACCTACCATTGGCCATGAGATGGGAGCTGAACTTCCTTTTGGCACCCCGGGCTTCGTTTCTGGGACTCCCCTCACATCCACTGGAACAGCAGCTCCAGCTTTGTCCCCCATGGCCTCGCAAGGACAGGACAGGGCTGTCACACATGGGGAACCCTGGGGTTTGCTTTCAGGAAAGTGAAAATACAACACCCCTTTCACCACAGTCCACATCTGGGCTTTGCTCCGTCCCTCAGCGCTTCAGCGAGTGAGGAGCTGATGTAACAGAGCCCAGGGGTCAGCCTGTGCCTGGCTGCCACCCCAAGGACAGACCCTTGTCCCTGCTGTGAGCATGGCGCCTCTGACCTTTGGTCTGTGGCACCTGCAATGCTCTGGACAGAAGCCAGGTATTGGAGTCAGGCTGATGCTGCCATCTCTGAGCTATAAATTTGGACAAGTCACGCCATCTCTCTGTGCCTCAGTTTCCTCATCTGTCAAGTTAGGGGCAGTCAGAACACTGGAAATGTGGGCAGGACAGCAGGAGTGTGCGGAGTCCTCTCGGCTCACGGCACATCCTTCTTCCCTCCAGGGCCCAGCAGCGGGGAAGACAGGCTGGAGGGATGGATCCTGCAGCATGGTAGTTAAGTCACTGAATTTGCCTTGGTTTCCTCATCTATAAACTGTGCAAACTGTCAGCAGGGTAATCAGAGGGTCCAGGAAGTTGACACCTTTGGGGGCTTAGAGTGGTATAAATTCAATGCCAGGTGAGTGTGGAAGTCCAGCATCTTTTTTTTTTTTTTGGTCGGTCGTGGGGCTTGAACTCTGGGCCTGGGCGCTGTCCCTCAGCTCTTCAGCTCAAGGCGAGTGCTCTACCACTTGAGCTACAGCACCACTTCCAGTTTTCTGGTGGTTTATTGGAGATAGGAGTCTCACGGTCTCTCCTGCCCGGGCTGGTTCAAACCGTGACCCTCAGATCTCAGCCTCCAGAGTAGCTAGGATTACAGGTGTGAGCCACCGGCGCCCGGCTAAAGTCCAGCATCTTTTATTCCAGAAAAGTGCCCAGTTCCCTGACACCCCACCCCTAGTGTGTTCACAGCCTGAGGCAGTGATCAAACTCTTTGGAGTCAGGGCATCTTGAGAATCACAAGGGGGCTTGGTCTGCCCTCAACTAGCCCTGGATCCCACAGTGAGGAACATTCTGGAGCCCCTTGGGGTACAGTGGTTCCTGTGTGCCTGGCAGTCACTTCCTCCATAAGAATGGACTGCCCAGGCAAGTGAGCTTTAGATCTGGCATGCAGCTACATGTCATCATGGAAGAGGAGGAGCAACAAAGCAGAAGGAGGAGAAGAGC